CCCCCCCCCCCAAAAAAAAAAAACCTCACTCAGTGTTCTTGCCCTCCGTGGCAGCCCCACTGTAAGGCAGACTGGTTGCCATGGTTGCTCCTTTGATGTGTCATAGTAGCCTTTTCCATCCATGTCGTACGACACTCCCCGCTTTGGTCAGCCACACAGATCAGGGTTGGCTTTTCATGTTTTACTGGCTCTGCGGCGTCCATTGAGAATGTCGAGGGGAAAACCCAAACAGAATCAAAACAAACAAAAAAAAAATAATAATCTGAGAAACTACCCAAACTTAAATGCAACTTTCCCCATGTCAGTGTACAGTGTGGGAATGTATGTATGTATATATATGTATATATGTATATATGCATACATAAAGTATTATTTATATATATTTACACATATGTATATACATATATACATACATATAGATAGACATACTGTAGACATATATGTATGTGTATGTATTTATATGTAGACATAAATCATTATATATATTCATATATCTGTAGATTTACATATGTATGTATATATACATATACATATGTAGATCTATGTATGTATATATAAGCCATAAAAAAATACATGTTGAATTAAGTTATACATTTAATAACCTGAGAAAGTTTCTCATCAAGGCCAGCTAGTAGACACGCAGGAATATATGTGATTAAGACTGGTGCTGTTATCAAAAAAAAAAAACCTTAAAGTTATTTTTTGGGCAACTTTTTCTTAGGCTTAAAAAAAAACCCCAAACACTTAAAGTGTAGTTTTGATTCTGTAAGAATTCAATTAAGTGTCGACAACTGGATTTGTCAGCTTGGGCTAATGTGTCTCACACCCGTTACAGCTTTGCTCTGAGGCTCTTCAAAGCTAAGTCGGCATTGATTAAGTGTCATACATCATGTATGTCACATGACATTCAACCTCAAACAACACTTCGTGTCCTCCCTTTGGCTTGAGAGCTGTGAAATGATTTAATTCTCAGACAAAAATTTTTAAAATTTAGAATAGTGAGCCTATTTAAATTAAATATCCCGGACTCTACCTGTGAGCCTATTAAATTAAATATCCCGGACTCTACCTGCAGGAATGAAGTTTGTGAAGTGAAGTGGTTAGCTACACTTTCTTCAAAGAGGCCGGATTAAATCATTCTCCCTTTTCATGTCACAACACATGAACACACTTTTTGATCAGGCAGCGGAGCAGAGCGGAGGAGAAACTAAACAGCTGAGGATTAGAAGGAATCACAAACACAACAGTGCAAATGCTGAGCTTGGTGCTAAGGTCTGGTATTTTAGATGCAACCAATATGAGGTGATAAATCACACGTGGCTCTTCTTGCCGTTGTCCGTGCATTTTTCCTCCAAGTCCTCCCTTTGATGACTGGAGAATTAACCCAGCAACGGCACTCGCGTCTTTGCATCAAACCTTCTTTTCCTGAATAGTAAACAGTTCATTAAAACCTGACAAAGCAATTGCAGCATTCAATTTAATTATTTGTGGTCATGCCTAACAAACAGCCAGGTTGGATCATTACCACCGCACAGTGACTCACAGGCACCTCCAGTTCCATGGGGTTGTCTCGTCTCTGCGGCCGCCGGAATATTTTTTATGTTTTATTTTTTTATTTTTGTCGCCGCGCTCAGTAGCTCAGTGAATGTTGCCGTTTCTACAAGTGTGAGGTATTTCCTCCTCATTGTGTTGCTCGTCTGTTCAATCTAAGAACAGACCAATTAGCCACTGTGACATTTTACGACGTGACATTTTGGAAACCCGGCAACCAGCAGAGGGATATTTGTGTA